CGGCTTTGAGGGGGCAGTATGGGTATACGACCTGCAGATTGCATGCTAAGATAATTGCACGTCTGCTCTTGAGTTTGTTGCCCCCATGTAACCCCTTGCCCCCAAGTGCTGGAATGGCTTACTCCTTGGGCTAAGGAATTGACAAATAGGGACACTTAAAACGATTTGGTTTTGTAGCATTTATTGAATATAGAGCTCATACAAGTGTCAAAGGGAACTAATACAGGAAATGTCATGAATAACAGTACTGTCAACCACTAGCAAAATAAACCATTGTGAAACACTGGAAGGTTTGTAGATCAAAATTTGATATTGAAAATTCAGTGAGACTCCCATTTGTGTTTGTTTTCTGAGAGCCTTTCAGGAAAATATTAAATTTAAGGACAAGGATTAATTTATTTCTATATCAGAGGCCTAGGGGCATAGCTCTGCCATGCCAGGAATTAACAGGCATAACTCAGTAACTTAGAGTTTACCCTTTGGTCCTTTACCTGTGAAATTAGAGGTGCACCCCATCCCACCACTCTTCCCAGAGCATTGCTTTATAGACTTGAAGCCTGTGTTTGAAGAGCTGTGTGTCTAGAACATCTAGTTACTTGTTTTTAAACTTACATGTTTTTCAGGGTTTTGTCAGTCTGGAAAAGTGGGTTCTATTTGATATAGACTATATCCACCTCTTAGCCCACCCTTACATATCTGACTCAGTCCATTTTTAATTTAGCTCATGAACTAAAGTTAAATAGAAACCAGTCCTAATCCCTCTAATGCTTTTTCAATGTTAGGCATGTTGGAGACCTGGGCAATGTGAAGGCTGACCAAAATGGTGTGGCCGAAGTGTGTATTGAAGATTCTATAATCTCTCTCTCTGGAGACCGTTCCATCATTGGCCGCACAATGGTGGTAAGTGTTCATATAATAAGAATATGCGTAAAATTACTTCTAACACATGGTCACATATGTTTTCATGATTTCATGATTATTAGTCTTGGTTTCTAAGGATCCATATAAATTGTACTTTTAGTTCAGATTAGGAAAAGCAGTTATTTTATTGGATGATTACAGTGAAGAAGAATTAATGATCTAGGTCAGTTAAGAACACTGTTTTGCTAAGATGCGGTAATAAACTAGATTGCATTAGGTCATATTAATTAGTTCTGTGTTAGAGACAGGAGTGGTCTTCATCTAGTTTTTAAATGGCCAGACTTTCTTGCCACTACTGGGTTTCCCCCTTGTACTTAACCAGAGCATCTTAAGTCTGAAATCGGATGGACCTCAATACTAATACTCATTCATGTCTGCAGGTTATCATCACTTGTTTAATATGTGGGAAGCAGTTGCCCCAAGTTACGTAGAGCTGCGTCTGGTTCATACAGAACACCACCTAGGATAGGCTCCCTTTTGCCTGTCCCAGAGGACAGTTAACATTCAGTAGACACCTCCTTTCAGTTGACCCTTTTATTCTTAGAATTTTCTTCACCTGTAGTTGTGAAGCAGAAAAATCACTTATCAGTGTTTGATGAGCAAAATTTTAAATACTACTGCTTGAATACGTCAAGATATTTTTAGGATTACCTCGTTTATGGGTCCGTAATTAGGCATGATTTTGATGTTCTTTTTTGTTGTTTACTTTTTTTTCCCCAAAAACAATTTATACAATAAAAGAATGACTACTGTAACTGAGATTACTAGAATTTCTCATGTTGGATTCGGCATGTGGCAGCCATGTAACCTAATTGTATGGGTTTTTTGTATTTCATTTAGAGAGAGCACTGCTTACCTAGTGTTTAAGGGTAACTTTCTTTGCATTATCAAGAAAAAGCTTTGAGGAGTAGTTTCTACTTTTTACTGTTAGATTAAATATTAGTATACTTTCCTCCTAGTAAAATTATTTTAACATGTTATTTTCTAATATTAAATGGTTCTTAAAAGTCTTTTGGGTATTGCTGAGAAGATATAGTAATTGCTTGATAGCCCTAAGTTAATGTGTTCTTAAAATTTTTTAAAGGTCCATGAAAAACCAGATGACTTGGGCAGAGGTGGAAATGAAGAAAGTACAAAGACAGGAAATGCTGGAAGTCGTTTGGCCTGTGGTGTAATTGGGATCGCCCAATAAACATTCCCTAGGAGGTGGTCTTGAGTCCTAGTAACTCATATGTTATCTTGCTAGTTGTAGAAATTTAACTAGAGAAACATTAAACACCGTAACCTTAAAAGTGTATTTTGTGTGACTTTTAATTGCTTTAAGTACCTGTAATAACTGATTTATGATCATTTGAAGATTTGTATAATTTTATAAGACTCATACTCAAAGTGTCTTGTTTCAGTGGTCTCTGTATTTTGCCAAACTTAGTCACATATGGATATTATTTGTCTGAATTTCTTCAGGTCTCAAGCCTGCAATAAACATTCTCTGTGGCACTACTGTATTTTGAGCCTATTAAAGTATCTAAATTGAAATTCTACATTAGCTCTGATACTCATACACAGAGCTTGAATGGAACAGATTTAGTAATATGTTGATGGGTATTAACTTTCATAGAGCTCTTTTTTGAAAGTGTTTTAAATGAGATCAGAATGTTTAAAATGTTAGCAACTGGTACAGTTAGCTAAGACTAAGCTGAACTTCAATCTCAGACAAATAGTCTCTCCTTTGTTAGCTTTAGGGAAACTAAAGTGGTACCTTTATTTTAAAAAGTAGATGTTACAGTTTAAGAGAGCCCTTGGATAACTTTCAGTGAAATTGTGAATGGCAAGTTAGTTAGAGCTTCAGGTAGCTGAGAAGACTTACCTACCTGTCAAATAGCACATACTCCATTTTTGTAGAACTGTGAACGTTTAGTTTATAATAAAAGTAGAGGTTGGCACAATCTGCTTTCAGATGAGCTCCTTAAAGAAATACATTATGCCACTGTAAGGTGGAAGCAAAGAAATGTTTGATTGTGGGTTCTGTTTGTTTAAATACAAGAACTGACATACCCAGTTAGTGAATTCAAGTCTGTTTCTCTTAATGGAAATATGTACCTGTAAGAGGATGCTTGTAAGTGTCAGTCTAACTAACTCAGGTTTGACGGTGGGTTGTAATATTATTACTTCTGATAGGGAAGCCAGATAAGCAACAGTTTTGGTTGGTCATAAATTATATGATGGACTTTATCAAGCGAAGATCACTTAGGAGAGGAAAAGCTAATTTAGAGTAAGAATTTGTAGTGTGTGTGTGTTTTCAAAGTTTTAAATTGGTGATAACAGTATGCTCACAATAATGGTTACAACTACCATCAGGTAGGGAATTTAAAAACAAACACTAACAGATTTCATAATGTACAGTTTTGTTACGTAAACGGGATAAGACTCAAATACAGGACTTGCTTGTGTCCTTTAAAGCCTCAAGTGTAATTACTACCACGTGGTACTTTTGGGGTTTTGTCATGTGCAAATAGGGTGACCTTAATACTTTTCAATTGGAAATACAGGACTGCGAGTCCTTGAAATCTGAACACTAATCAATCAATAAGGTGTATTTTTATTTCCAAAAGCAGTTTCAGCTGAGACTTTTAAACTTCCCAGTGGGCCAACATAAAACTGAGGATAAATTTTATAACTCAAATCTGCATATATGGAACCGGATTTTCTCTTACTTTCCAAAGGCAGGAACTCAAGAACACTGCCCTAGATAAATACATTTCCCCCCATCAAAACAAAGGTCTTGCTGCAGAAAATTCAAAACCAAGGTAATAAAGCAGCTTCGCCTGGGGATGAGGGCAAAGGAAAAAAGTTATGTTACGCACACTGAAACTAGGACAGTTTAAAAATGTGATTTAAGAAGAAAAAAGCTTCAAGGCCGAAAGTACAAGGATTATGTTAACGGTCTTTTCCTTGGCACTAGGTAAGCAGCTTTATGTAACTGCTTTTCTGTACTGTTTCAGGTATAGGTTTGATGTGGCTTTGGATGTCTTCATGTAATAGCTCTTGGATAACCTACAACTATTTTTCCTAGTTAACCCAACAATTTTAAGGAAAAGAGAGAAAGTACTTTGTAAGTGGCAAAAAGTTCAGTTTACCTCTGCCCAGCAGGGGACTTTAAAAAATGGTAAAGAAAGGCAACAGGCGAGGCTTGTAGAAACAATAGGTTGCATTTAAGTCCTTAAACAGGTAAGACCATAAGCTTTTAGGTTGCAAATACTAACCTTGATTTCTTTCACCCTTTTGAAAAATTTAATGGGATGGTTAAGAAAGACCCCCAACCTTCTTTCCAAATAAGTAACACCCAGGCAATCAGATAATTTATAGTTACAGCGGGGAATGCTGGGGTCCAGGTTTCCCCCAGCGAAAAAAGTTTTTACAATTATTTAGGGCAACATTTACCACAAAGCCAATGGCAAAAAAAGAAGACCTTGACTGAATTCCAAAACAAGCTTTTCAGTTAACATTAAAACCACTAACCTTTGCCTTATGATTGAAATGCTAAAAATAAAAAACATTACAAATGAAGTGTTTGAGACTAACTACATAAAGATGTCTATTTCCATCAAATATACAAGTCTAATTTAGACTCCAACACAGTATTAACAGTTCAAACTTTGATGGTGAACAATCCTTTTCCACCTTAATGCAGTGTAGGAAGAATAGCACACATTAAAGTTTGTTACGAAAATAGAGTTTATTAAAAACATCCCTATTGTTTTTGAGGAGCTTTCACCGTTACCTTGTCTTAAATTAAAAAAAAAAAATAGAGAGCACTTCTAATTACGATTTGTAAACTTTTTAAAGTCAAAACTTTTAAAAAGTTACAGCAAAAAGGGTAATATTTATTCATATTTTCAGTATTTTTTGTTATTTTGTGGCTATTTTTAAATAGAAGGGAAGCAATCAAATTGCTTACAATTCCCCACCAACTACTGCGGGGCTGTGATATAGCAGGAGCAAGTATAATACAGCATCTGTACACTTCAAGCTCTACACTCCAGGAAGTGTCACTGTCACATGTGGACAAATTCCAGTCTCTAACGAGGAGCCTCGGCTGCTGAGCCAGAATCCTTTTCAGGTTCAACGGATGAGGTAGCCTCAGCAGGTAACTCTTCAGAAGGTTTTACAACTGCAGACTCAGACTCCCCCTTATCAAGTTCTGAAACAGTGTCTACATTTCCCACTTGGCTAACGGGAGGTTCAACGGTTTTGTTACCGCCTGCCCTGTCTGTCACCTCAGGCTTCTCCTTGCCTCGGTTTTCCTCCTTCTCTCTACGAGACTCTCTATCTCTAGAATCTCTCTCTCTGTCTCGATGCCCACTAGAGCGTCTATTCCTCTCTTCCAAGTCTCTGTGCCTGTCCCGGTCAGGGCTCCTTCTTCCCCACTCTCTCCTTTCACGATTACTATTCTCTCTATCATCATTACGGTTCCCATACCGTTCCCGGTCATTTTCCACCCTATTTCCAAAAGATCTTCTTCCAAACCTTTCTTGGTCTCTACCTGAAGTGAACTGCTGCCTGTTATCGTTTCTAAACGGCTGTGGCTGCGTCGGCGGCGGCTGCGGTGGCTGTGTCGGTGGCTGTTGCTGCGCCTGCGGTGCTGGTGGCGGCTGCTGCTGCTGCTGCGGCGGCTGCCTTCCGTCTCTGTCCTCGGGACCCCCTGGGCCTGGACCTGGGCCCCCGAGCCCTGGCACTCCACCGGGCCGGACAAAGGGGCCGTGGGGAGGAAAGGGACCTTTCATTCCATGAGGCGGAGGCATCCCGAAGCCCCCGGGGCCTGGTGGCGGACCTCTATGCATCATATGCGGAGGCATGGGACGAGGTGGCATCAAAGGCATTCCTGGCGGGCGCTGGAGTGGGATTAGGCCAGGTCGGGCACCAAGAAGACCAGTGGATGGGGCTTGGAGCCCAATTACAGGGCCAGGTGCAACTCCTTGAGTACCTGTAACGCAATAAAAATTAAAGTGTAAATAAAATAACATAGAAGACAGCATGTTCTATTTCCAATTATTTCCTGTGGAGCTTGAAACAAAATGAAATTCAACCCAAAACCTTCAAATTTCATACTGTTTGCCTGTCTACCTAGCAGAAAAATGTGACGGCCCAGTAACAACGCAGGGCAAGCATTCCTGGAGATATACTATGTATACACATCTACCTAATATAGGTACAGGTCAAAATAAGCTGCAAAAAGAAATTGTAATATACCAAATTTTGGAAAGAGTATGTCAGAAACTCCTTCTATAGCCTTGACTAGTAGCTGTTTACCACTCAAAATACTTGAGAAAACACATGTGCGCTGAGATAAAAGAACTAATGAGATAAAGAACTGAACTATTTGACCCAACTGAAGGTTATTTCAGGTGTACTCTTAGAAGAAAACTTCTTCCTCTAAGTCTTAATTTGACTTTTTACTAGGAACATATGGGGTCAATGACCCAGAAAAATCCAGTGAAGAGGGAGGTTTCTTTGATTCTATGTCATTAAAATGCTTTGTGCAGTTATTATGCATAAGCATTACTTTAATGTTTATAAAATAAAGATCCATACACAAACGTAGAGTTTATTTTTACAAGTCCCTCCTCAAAGCACAGCATAACGTGTAAACTGCTATGCCGAAATGACTGCTGAACAATGCTGAGTGCCCAGTCACCTTCTATTCACTTTCCCAAAGGTGGCAAAACGGATAAAGTTAGTGCTGCTGCTGAAAGTGACAATGACTTTATTTCCCATTTACAGGGGTGTGCTTATGCTTTAAGAATCAAATTCAACCCATCATTTATAATACCATGGAAAAGGAGGATCTGTTGTGGTTCACAACTTAACAGGTATCGTGGTCTCTCTCAATTTATTTCTCTGCAAATATAAACATCACAAGGCAAATACTATGACCAACAAGAGTTATTCTAATAAAGGGAAATGTTCCTTATATTGTCAGAATATGCCATTTACCCATGTACTACAGAAATGCCTTTGAGCAAGTTGTGCGTTATGACCATCAACAGGCAATGGTGAGAAAAATGCTTGCGTGACACTAACAGAAAAACCACCAGAGAGCAAACCCAATACTTCCTCATCTTTTTGTCCCCAGCATCATATTATTTTATGTTTACAGTTTCAATCACTTCCACTCACTTTAGCAAACATTTAACAAGTCCTATTTGCTCCTAGATTTTCTGTATAAACAATACTAATGATAGACAAGAATTTCTACTTCAGTTTTTGTTCCTCAGGACATATGGTCCAATACTATTCTGTCAGACTTAGGCACCCAATAGAGTAGACTGGAAAATGTATGTGCACCAGTTTATAACTCTTAACATGAAGCCTCACCACTTTGGTATTTACTTAAACAGAGTACCTTCTTTTAAATGCTTAAAGACAAATACATTCAGTGAAAAAGATCTCACATAGGAGCAACCTTGGACACATGCCTCAGAAATGGGGATAATAATACCTGCCTCTTGTTGAGATTAAATGGGATAAAGTACATAAGCATGAGCTCAGAGTTTGGCACACAGTTAAGTGCTGAAATTATTATTCTACACATCTATTTTGACAGATGATAAGTATCCTAACACTGAATATTTCACTTTGCAAAAACACATTTTTCTTTTCTGATCATTAAGATCTTACTGGCCTCTCCGGGTCCCCCAATATCCATCACTGTTTAGAGTCAAGCACTTTGGTAACAGAAAAAATTATGCTTCCATATGTCAGGCCTAAAGTTGAGAAATGCTAATTACCATAGTGAAAAGCCAGAAATGATGAATTGGATGAACAAGGCCAAGACCCCATAGACTCTTTACACTCTCCTTAGGAAATCCCAGACAATGAACATATTACAGAGCTTATACTATTATCTCAGACTGATATAAAATTCACGGCAAACTAACATTCTTCATATCATTTAGTGAACATATACTGAGTATATACCATACAGGGGACAACAAGGCACCTAAGATATGTCCTTGCTCCCACCTTTTAAAGAAATCGTAGAGCCGTAACATTTGTGGACTTTAACTCAAAACAAGCAACATAAAATGTGGCGCACCCATGTACAGCCTCCTTCAATAGAGTCATCATATAGAGAAGCACTTCAACAAGTCGAACTTTACTTTCCCACCAGCTTTACTCAAGGATGAAACCGTAAATGTTTACTCTGTTAAAGACTTGTTGTGGCACATTCAAGTACATAACTATATGCTCAAGGGGCCAATAGCAAGTTTTAAATAACACTAGAAAAATGAGGGAGGGGTTCAAAGCATCTTATTGTAACAAAAGAATTAAGTTCAGATGAACCTTTAAGAGGAAACAGACCTTTGCAGGACAATGGGAAGGTCCTACTCCTGATTTCCCCATGATGGCTTCCTCAGCTACCAATCTGACAGCTACCAAAGGAAGCAAGGCCAACCTCAATCTTGTACAGAAGAGAGCAAATGGGCAATGATTCTTTATAAAATATAAACCAATCTCTGTCAACACATCTCTAAGTTTTTTATAACATGCATTTGAGGGTACATACAGGTTCATTTAACAGGGTTAACTTTTACAGTACTCATATATTTAAAACTCCTACAAAGCACATTTTTTATAAAGAGAAAAACATAGCCTAATTCATCTATTCCATATATGTGGATATTTGTATTTGGGATTTACTTAAAATATTATTCAAATTCTTTCCCTCTTTTGTAAATAAGCTGATTTCCTTTTAACCCTTTACGGACCAACAAAGTTTACAGGTTCCCCCAACAGAATTCCCATAGCTCCAAATGTTGGCCTTCAGGGCACAGAAGTGGTGGAATTAGATATTTTTTTCTGTTCTGTTTTGCAGTGAACAATAAAGTACTGCTTTTATAATAACAGTTATATTTAATTAAAAAATATATCAGGTGGCATAAGCCCTTGGTAGGCATAAGAGCTGAATTTCATTTTTATTTTTATCAGGAAAGCTGTCATGATGCATATACCAATGGAATACACAGTGAGTTACCCAAGTCTAAAGGACATTCAAAGCAATTATTCATTTTGTTTAGAAGTATGACGTGAAATACCTGACAAGTTTTCTAGAGTTAAAAACTTTAAAAGATTCATTTATTCATACATATGTTGAACATCTAAGCTTTACATTATTAACATATTTAATGTGCTGGGGATATAAAGATTAAAATAAATAATAATCTTTTCCTTCAAACAGGACATAACCTAGTAGAAACAGACAAATGTCAATTGCTATAGGAGACGGCACACACTATTATGGTGACAAACGTGGAACTGACGAAGTCAGTGTGTGTGAATCTGAGCAGGAGTCCCAGGGGAATGCCTGAATTGGGTCCCAAAGGAAAGGAAGAACATTCAAGGCCAATTTAAGGAAGAACATTATGATTAAAGAGAACAGCGGCTTCTGGAAAGGCCTATTATATTATTAGCAAAGCGAAGCAGTGAAGCGTGTTGTTCTGAGAATTGCAACAGAATGTCTTTTGATGAAAATCAAGGAGAGAAAAGATGAGGTTTATTACTGAAGCAGCAAGAAAGAATCTGTATGAATACAGATTGCTATCAATTAAAAAAGAAAAAAATGAGGTTTGTGAGGCTGAACAGTTAGGCCGGGGCAATCCAGGTCTTATATGCCATGAAAAGGAACCTGGACTCTGATCTAGAGTGGTGGGAAAACCACGGAGAAATTTTTAGCAGGGATGATCCTCATGTTCATTTCTGAAAGACCCCTCCAGCAAACAGTATACAGGAAAGCAAGGAGGCAGAGGACACTGAAGAGTAGTTAGGCTCTTATTCCAAGAATCTAGGGAAGAGAGGTGAGAGACAACTGAACGAGGTGCAAGAGATGAAGAACAGATTTAAGCCCTTTAGTAGGCAGGACTGGCAGAATATGAGATGGAGGAACATAGCTGCTTCGAATGAGTGGGTGGATGAAGGCATCAACTCAATGCAGGAATTTAGAAAGAGAAACAATTTTTGGAGACAGACAACAAATTTCACATGTTAATACTGAGAGTTGGAGGGGCCTAGGCTACACCTGGTGGAAATGTGCTGAAGTGACTGATTAAATGTACAGAGCTCAGAAGAACCATGGTGTTAACTTATCCAGAACGTGGATGAAACAAAAGAGGGAAGAGTTCAGACCTGGGGAAACTCACACTATAGACAGAAGACTCCAAATTTCCTAATACAGCAAGATTTTAAGGCAGACCAAAAAAGTGACAGCCCCAAATGTCTCTATTTAAATTCAAGAAGTATAAGAAATACACTGAAGTTTAAATAACCAAGGCTATTTCCTATGATGAATCAAAAAAACCCACTTTCACAATTAAAAAGTAAAATTCAAGATTAAAGGGGCGGTGCCAGTGCTTTCTATAGCAAACACGTTGGTAATTATGGGAAATAAAGAACAGGTATGTTAAAAGATTAAAGGGGTGGTGAAGGAGAAGGCTGATACCATGACTGGAGACCAGTGTGGACCTTGCAATGTCAGGAGAATGTTAGTTGAACACTTTCATGGAGGATGTAAATGTAAGTTGGATCTTTCACACACAAAAAAAGGAAGGGCAGAGAGAACATCTGAAAAGGGAGATCAGTAGAAAGGGCGGTTCTTCTACCTCTTCGCCGCCCATCATCCCGTCTTCCATCCTACCACAGCCAACGCCTGTAGGAAGTCCTGGACCTTTCATTACAAGTAACTTTATCACTTCTGAATTCTCATTTTCAAGTACCCCTCTCTCTGACCCTCTTTCCCAAAACAACCTTCAATCCCACGAGGATCAAGTCCCCGATGCCCTTCACGTCTTTACTTTCCTCCTTACCTGTCTTGGAGTCCACGGTTCTCCCTTACCATGCTTCCTGGAAAAACCTCAACACTGGTTTTAAATGCAACTCTTCTACCTAACCTGCACCTGAATATGGCTGGGCACCACCTCCAACATGCTG